AAGAGAAAATAAGAGTAGACGACGCTCAGCCTTGTGGAGGGAAGAAGAGGTATCAGGAGACACAGGACAAAAAAAAAATCTCAATCTCAAAATGGCAAAATTTTTTTTTAATAGCAAAAGTGAAACACCAACAGAAAGCACCAAAAGGAAGTAGAGAATAACTATAATGTCTGTCAGTAACCACAATGAATATAGATGGACCAAACTCTGTTCAAAAGCAGAGATAAACAGAGTAACAGCAATCACAAACACAAGTTTAGTACTTGCTATTTATAAAAACACAAGGAAAACTTTAAGACATGGAAGGTTGGAAGAAAAAGATGGAAAAAATACAAACCAGGCAAATATAAATAAAACAAAACACAACACCTGGTATCCAACAAATAGACTTGAAGACAAAAACAGTAATTAGTGGTAAAGTCATTATATAAAAGGCTAAATTAATCAGAATTGCACAATTCTAAACTATATGCATTTGATAAAATAGCCTCAAAACGTGATAGATTCACAAAGAGAAATAGACACGTCTTCTGTCATAACGTGAGAATTTAACATACTTCTCCCTATTGGTAGGTCAAGGAAACCAAAATAAATATGCAAATACAGAAAAACAACCAAACAATCAACTAGCTGGTTTTAATGGATATTTATAGAACTAAAAATTAGAGAATACACATTCATCTCGATATTCTACACATGCAACATTTGTAAAAATTAGATCTCATACCAAGAAACAACGCAGATCTCAGTAAATTCAAATAACTGGAATCATACATAACATGTTCTTTGACCGCTATGCAATAAAGTTAAAATAGATAAGAAAAATACAAATTAAAAAATTTATATATTTGAAAATTTAATCAGTATATCTCTGAATAATGTTGAAAACAATAAGCTACATTTAATTTAATGGAAATTTAAAATACCACAAATTTGATAAAAAATAAAATATATCAAGACTCATGGGACACTGGCAGAGCAGTATTTTGACATATATTCATGCCTTAAAATCTTGTATTAAAAAGGAAGAAAGGCAGACACTTGAAAAACTGAGTATCCTACTTAAGAAGTCAGAAAAATAACTTCGGAAAATTTTTAAAAAGAAAAAGGAATGAGCAAAAATAAAGGTAGTTTTTTACAAAAATATAAAATAGACAAACTTTTGCTGAGATTGATCAAGAAAAATATGAAGAAAGCCTAAATTTAAAATACTAAGAATAAAAAGGGCCATAAAACAGATACAATAGAGACATTTAAAAAAATAGTATGAGCAATATTACACAAGGAGCATGAAAATATAGATGAAATGAACAAATTTCAAGAAGGATAACATCAGGCTGAGTGTGGTAGCTCATGCATGTAATCCCAGCACTTTGGGAGGCCAAAGTGGGTGGATCGCCTGAGGTCAGGAGTTCGAGACCAGCCTGGCCAACATGGCAAAACCTTGTCTCTCTACTAAACATACAAAAATTAGCTGGGTGTGGTGGCATACTCCTGTAATCTCAGCTACTGGGAAGGCTGAGGTGGGAGAATCGCTTGAACCCAGGAGGTGGAGGTTGCAGTGAGCTGAGATAGCACCACGGCACTCCAGCCTGGGCAACAGAGCGAGACTCCATCTCAAAAAAAAAAAGGGATAACATCAAAATGTACTCAAGATGAAATAAAAAGGAAACCTTACAATTTCATTCATAAAGAACTTAAATTGAAGGTTAAAATTCTTCTGTAGAGACTCAGATAGTTATAGAGGTGAGTTTTAATAAACTTTTGAATAATTCTTTATCCAATATTATACAAATGATTTCAGAGAATTCACAAAAGAGGGAACATTCCCCAGTGTATCATAAGAGGCCCCTATAATGTTGATACCAAAGTCAGACAGAGATTGCATAAAAAAAGCTTAAAACAATTTCACTCATTAACATGTTTGCAAAGATCCTAAATCAAATCTTAGTAAAGTAAATATAGCATTGGAATAAAAGAGAGAATCCACCAAGATCAAGTTGGGTTTATGTCAGTAATGCAAGGGTGGTTTATACATTAAAAAATTGTAGGTAAAACACAATACTTTCTGCATTTCCATAGACAAAGACAAAGCATTTGATAAAAGCAAAAATTATTATGATAAACTAGAAATGGAAGGGAAGTTCTTTCATGATTAATAAATGTTGTCTACCAAAATGTTCATCATTTTCAATGATAAAATACTAGCAGCACTAATTTTAAATTCAGGAACCATACAAGCATATCATGTCCATCATTTCTATGGTAGCAGAAATCCTAGCTGGCATAATAAGATAATAATACTGCAAGTCATGAGAATAGAAGAAGAAAAAATGAAACTGTTATTACAGTCAGGTGATATTGTTCAGTCTACATTAAAAATCTTTAAAAATCTACAGAAAGTGGTTAAAATTAAGTGTTTTTATAAGATGACTGGATTTAAGAACAACATAAAAATCAATTGCATTTATATATGCCAGCAACAGCTAATAAAATATAGTAAAAATAAGCTTACTACCTGTTTACAGCAACACAGTCTCCAAAAAAGGGGCACTAAAAATATTTGTAACAAAAGATGTGCAGGAAATATTTTAAATGTTTAAATATATTTTTCTCATATAAAAGATATCCAGGAATGAAATAAATGATGAGATATCAGTTTTTAGGTTTAAAAGATGATTCAGTAAAGAAATAAATTGTCACAAATTCTCAATAGTTTATCAAAAAATATTATGGTGTTTTTCTACAATTCATATAGAAGACTAAGGCCACAATATTCAGCACACTAACAAAAAGGAAAAATAAGATAGAGAGATGTGTCCTAACAGGTGTCTACATTTATTTTAAAGTTATGATTACTAAAACAGTATGTATTGGCTTAATGAGAGACAAACTGAGTCAAAGAAAAGAACAGAGAACCAAAAACAGTTCCACACCATTTTTTTAAACTTGAAATCTGATAGAGGTGGTAATGCAGATTACTGGAACAAAATAAACTACTCCATAAATGCTCTTGGGATCATTTGCTACAAATATGGGAAAAATAAAATTGAATTCTGACCTCACACTATACAAAAAAATCAATCCCAGATGGGGATTAAAGAAATAATAGAGGTAAAACACTCAAACCTTAAGAAAAAAATGGTTAAGAATATCTTTAAGAGGGGGTACACCAAGATGGCCAAGAGGAGGCAACACTGGAATGCAACTCCCAGCGAATGAGATGCAGAGGACTAGAGGACTTCACGATTCCAAGCAAGGTGCCAAGTTAATTTCAGTGGGACTGGTAGGACACTGAAAATAAAAGCCCATGGAAGGAGCTGAAGCAGGGTGAGAGCCGCCCAGGTGGGCGAACCGAGACAGGGTGGGGTGCATCCCCACCTGGAATGTGCAGGTGGGCGAACCGAGACAGGGTGGGGTGCATCTGCACCTGGAATATGCAGCCAGCTCCGAGGGTCAGGGGACTTCACCCCATTGGTGCTCCCATTCGGATCCTGTGCTTACCTCATCCCTCCTGCAACCCACGGTCCAAGAGAGCCCTGCCAGACTGATGGGCACCATGGGTTGTCGATTCAAATCTGAATGATGGCTCCTGCCTGGTGCCACAAGGTGTTGCACAGACCTGGGCGGAAGTTTGGACTAACACCAGTGGGACTGACCGTCCCGCAGAAAGAGGCAGAGTCGAAAGCAGGGAAATAGAGGTAAGGCCTGGCAGGCCCCACCCCCACAAAACTCAAACTGAAGCTGGTGTTCTAGAGAGCTTGGCAGCGAATACACCAGTTTGACTCCAACAGGGAAGATGGAGCTCAGGAAAGGAGAGATGCCATTGGGAAGGCAGAGCTAATCTCACCTGCAAACAAACTCCAGGAAAAGACTACACACACAGCAACCTGACTGAATCTGAGGCAGCCCAGCAGCACCTCTACAGGCCAAAAAAGATATAGCTCCAAACTCAACAGAAAGTATGTCCACTCAGAGATTCCTCCAGCAATCACCAACTTCAAAGATCAAAGCAAGTTAAATCCACCAAGATGGGAAGAAACCAGTGCAAAAAGGATGAAACCATCAAAGACCAGAACACCTCTTCTCCTCCCAGAGATCACATCTCCTCACCATCAAGGAACAAAACAACACAGAAAATGAGTTTGACGAATTGACAGAAGCAGGCTTCAGAAGGTAGGTAATAACAAACTTCTCTGAGTTAAAAGACCATGTTCTAACCCAATGCAAAGAAATTTGAAAAGAGGTTAGATGAAATGCTAACTAGAATCACCAGCTTAGAGAAGAACACAAATGACTTGATGGAGCTGAAAAACACAGCACGAGAACTTTGTGAGGCAAACACAAGTTTCAACAGCTGAATTGATCAAGCAGAAGAAAGGATATCAGAGATAGAAGATCAAATCAATGAAATAAAACGAGAAGGCAAAATTAGAGAAAAAAGAGTGAAAAGAAATGAACAAAGCCTCCAAGAAATATGGGATTATGTGAAAAGACCTAATTTATGCTTGATCAGAGTACGTGAATGTGATGGGCAGAACGAATCCAAGTTGGAAAACACTCTTCAGGATATCATCCAAGAGAGCTTTCCCAACCTAACAAGGCAGGCCAACATTCAAATCCAGGAAATACAGAGAACACCACAAAGATACTTCTCAAGAAGAGCAACCCCAAGGCACATAATCATCAGATTCAAAACTGAAGGAAAAAATCCTAAGGGTAGCTGGAGAAAAAGGTCGAGTGACCCACAAAGGAAAGACCATCAGACTCACAGCAGATCTCTCAGCAGAGACCCTACAAGCTAGAAGGGAGTAGGAGCCAATATTCAACATCCTTAAAGAAAAGAACCTTCAATCCAGAATTTCATATCTGGCCAAGCTAAGCTCCATAAGTGAAGGAGAAATAAAATCCTTTACAGACAAGCAATTGCTGAAAGATTTCGTCGCTACAAGAACTGCCTTACATGAGCTTCTGAAGGAAGTACTAAATATTGAAAGGAGCAACCAGTACCAGCCACTGCAAAAATGTACCAAATGGTAAAGACTAATGACACAGTGAAGAAACCGTGTCACCTAATGGGCAAAACAACCAGCCCGTAACAAAATGGCAGGTTAAAATTCAAATATAACAATATTAATGTTGAATGTAAATGGCCTAAATGCCCCAATCAAAAGACGCAGACTGGCAAACTGGAAAAAAAGTCAAGACCCATTGGTGTTCTGTATTCAGGAGACCCATCTCATGTGCAAAGACTCACATAGACTTAAAGTAAAGGGATGGAGAAAGATTTACCAAGCAAATGGAGAACAAAAAAAAGCAGGGGTAGCAATCCTAGTCTCTGATAAAATGGACTTTAAACCAACAAAGATCAAAAGAGACAGAGAAGGGCATTACATAATGGTAAAAGGATCAATGCAACAAGAAGAGCTAACTATCCTAAATACATATGCACCCAATGCAGGAGCACCCAGATACATAAAGCAGGTTCTTAATGACCTACAAAGAGACGTAGACTCCAACACAATAATAGTGGGAGACTTTAACACTCCACTGACAATATTGGACAGATCAATGAGACAGAAAGTCAACAAGGATATCCAGAACTTGAACACAGATCTGGACCAAGTGGATCTAACAGACATTTACAGAACACTCCACCCCAAATCCACAGAATACACGTTCTTCTCAGCACCACTTGGCACTTACTATAAAATTAACCATATAATTGGAAGTAAATCACTCCTCAGCAAATGCAAAAGAACAGAAATTATGTTAAGTACTAATTATAAGAGATTGAGTTAATTGATTACATTGAGATAAAGAATTTCTGTACAGCAAAATATACCAAAAAGAAAATGAAAAGAAAGCATACGTGAATCTAGAAGATATTTTTAGTACATATAAGAAACAGATGATTAATACTCTTCATATATTAAAAATTCCTCCAATTTGACAAGAAAAAAAGCAAACAACTAGTAGAAAAATAGCAATAGGCCATGAAAGGGTATTTCATAGGAAAGGAAATATGAATGATAAATAAACATATAAAATATGGCCACCTCATTTATAATCAAGGAAATATAAACAAAGAACTTCTGAGATACATTTTTATGAACTGTATTATAAAAAGTCAATACATTTGAAAATACCAAGTGTTGGAGAAAATTTAAATACTGTATAGTTGAGAGTATAAATTGGTACAGTCACTTTGGGAAACAATTTCGCATTATCTTGTAAATTTGAGGACATGATAAATATCTTCTTCAACCCATCAATGCTACTTCTAGGGGATGTGTATGTGAATTGTAGAGAAACTTTCACCCATGTGCACTGGGAAACAGGTATAGGTACGTACTGAAAGGTATTATTTGTGAAAGCAAAAACCTAGAAACAACCCAAATGTTCATTATCGTGACTGGGTAAATAAATATGTTCTATTCATACACAATGGCCTATGAAATAGCTAGCAACATGAATGAACTCTAGCAACATGTAACAAACTAGATGAACCTTGGAAAAAATTCTGAGCATAAAAAGCCTGTCAGAGAAAGCTGCATTCACTATGGTACTACTTTTATAAAGCTCAAAAAATAGGCAAAACTAAGCAATGTATTGCTTAATGATATATACCTGCACCATTTTTAATAGAAGCAACAACAAATGCAAATTTCAGGATTTTGCTTCTCATATGCCAACCGATCAAGAGGTGATTTCAAAGGTATTGGCAACAATACCTTTGGTTCTTAGTGATTCTTATGTTGAATGATGGGTTCACAGATGTTCCTCTTATAATTATGTTTTACAACCCACATGGATATAGAATAGATTTTTTTTTGTATTAATGAAGTATTACATTAAGTATTAGGCAGAAGCTGAATCATCCAGTGACTGTTGGTCATGTTAAAAGTTTCAGACTTCATTTTCCCACTTAACAAGGAGGAAGAGTAAGGTAGAAGAATGTAATTCTTATTTCCTTTGGGACTTTTCAGCATCTGGACAGTCCGAGTAAGATCACGAGTCAGGTCATCATGACTCTGTGAAAGTCTTTTGCCTCCTCTAGCCTCCTTTCCCTTTAGTCAGGTTCCCTTTTCCCTGCCCAGCTCCCTACCTATCAAAGGCCCAGTGCTCCAGCTGACTATTTGGACGAGACATTATCCTGCTGGATCTCTAGTTAAGAGAGCCCTACATCACACCCTCCACATTGCTTCTCCCCTAATCTGAAGACTGATGCCCACCACAAAGCTCACAACTTAGAGGGTCCGTGGAGCCCTTTTATAAAAGTATGGGCTTCTTAGGGCTTCTCTGAACCTAAAGCCCTGGGCAAGCAGACATGTTGTACCTGCCTGTCCACTGGCCTCTGCCCCTGCTGAGCTTTGCAGACTTACTGACTTTCTGTTTCCATTTTTCTTTCCTTAAATGAATCATGATCATACTAGCAGATTCTGTGGAGCCACTGGGATTCACACTTCATAAAAAGTGCTGGGAATGTGAACCAGAAATGTCCATGGAAGCACATAAAGATGGACAAGATTTCATGGTCAGCTCTCCCTACCCCCACCCCATCCCAGGTTTAGGTCAGTTTGGCACTTGCCACTAAGTGAGCTGAGGCTATGATTCATCAATCACTTAAAAAACTAAAATTGGGATATTTCCTAGCTGTTGGCCAGGGTGGAAGTTAATCCTGGTGTTTACACTTTTTAAACAAAGTGAGCAGGGCCCAGAGCTCCTTCAAACGCTTTTGTTAGGAATGTGTACAGGCCAGCTTTCGACTGTGAAAATCTCAGCAGTTGGCAAATGCTGAAACCCATGACTGAGTTCATGTGATCTACTTATGAACATGATTTAATTAAAAGCACTCTCTGTGTTTAAAGAGCCATCAAAAATCTCACACCAGGAATGTTAAGTTCAATACCTTAAGGGACATTTTGGTGTCAGTGACACAGTTGGAGCAAGTGGACCAGACAAGAAGCCCATGACCAAGTTCCGGCAGAGGCAGAGAAGGGAACAGGGTGGCCATGAGTGTGGTGGGATCCATCTTAATTTTTCCCTATAAAGTAAACTTGTTTTCTCTCACCATTGCCTAAGTAATACATCCTGCCCCTACTATGAGGGATGCCACCTGGATTTTTCTTAATAGCAAAAATTATACTGATTATAGCACATAAGTACATTTTTAATAAATTTGATATGACACATGGTGGGGACCCCAACGTAAGAGCTTCTAGTGACGCACATACACACAAAAGAGACTTAAAGTAGTCCCATTAGATGCTCCGAGAGACACTGCCCTGAGGAGTTAGCAAAATGGTAACTTTCCCAGCAGATCTTGAAGGAATTATCTTTCTCTGTTGAGTTACACAGGCTTCTGGGCTTTCAGGATTCAGGTACATGGCTGTCTGTACAGTATTATAACAGTCTCTTCTTGAATCAAACTTTGTAAAACCCCTTTCTCTTGAAAGAGCTCTTGACAAATATTAGGATCTGTAATTTTGCCACTTTGTTAATTTTTATCTGGCTGTTTTTTTTGGTCTGGCTGTTTTATAATTTCTTTGCTCCTTTCTTCCTCGATTGCTGTCTTCTTTTGTGTTTTAATAACTTTTTGTAGTGGTATGCTTTGAATCCTTTCTCTTTATATTTTGTGTATCTACTATAGGTTTTTGCTAATAGGTGGTTACTATGCAGCTTACATAAAACATATTGTAGTTATAACAGTCTATTTTAAGCTGATAACAACTTAACTTTGATTACATACAAAAACTGAACTGTTTTACTCCCCCTCATTTTACATTTTTGATGTCACAATTGACATCTTTTATATTGTGCATCTTATAAGTTATAGCTTTAGTTATTTTTAATGCTTTTTCCTTTTAACCTGTAAACTAGAGTTAAAAGTGACTTATTCATTGTCATTACAGTTATAGAGTATTCTGAATTTTACTATATACTTATCCTTACCAGTGAGTTTTATACTTTAATATGCTTTCATGTTGTAACTAGCATCCTTTCATTTCAGCTTGAAGAACTCCCTTTAGAATCATTTGCAATGCAGGTCTAGCAGTTATGAGCTCCGAATGTCAGTTTTGTCTGGGAAAGTCTTTATGTGCCCTTTGATTTGCTGGGTAAAGTATTCTTGGTTGGCAGTTCTTTTCTTTCACATCTTGAATATATCATCCCACTCCGTCCTGGTATGCGAGGTTTCTGCTGAGAAATCTGCTGGTAGCCTTATGATGTTTCTCTTTGGCTTTCTTCATTCCATTTTATTCTGTTTTCTTTTTTTCTCCTCTAACTGGACAATTTCAAATGACTTATCTCTGAGTTCACAAATTCTTTCTTCTGCTTCACTAAGTTGATGCTCTTTATTTTATTTTTTATGTCATTCACTGAATTCTTCAGTTCCTGATTTGGTTCTTTATGATTTCTATGTCTTTGTTGAACCACTTGTTTTCTTTACATATTATTTTCCTGATATCATTTATTTGTCTATCTGTGTTCTCTTATAGCTTGCTGAGCCTCCTTAAAACAATTGTTTTGAGTTATTTGTCAGACAATTTGTATAGATTTACTTTCTCTGGCAGTGGTTAGTGGAAAATTATTGTGTTCCTTTGGTGGTATTATGTTTCCTTGATTTTATGTGTTTCTTGGAGTTTTGTGTTGCTGTCTTCACATTTGAAAAAGCAGTTACCTCCTCCAGTCTTTACTCAATAGCTTTGGAAGAGACATTTTTATCAGTTAGCTATAGACTCTGAAGCTCTTTCAGACCTTTTCTATGAATGTATCTTCTCCACACTTATTATTTCCTCTTATGGGGGAATTTTAAAGATTATATGCCTTTTCTCAATACTGCAAAGCTAGACTGGGTGCCAAGAGCCTCCCATTTGTTTTCCCTAGGGTAGGACATTAGCTCTTGGATATTTGGAGGAGAAACAGTCAAGGCCTATGACATGGCATGAACTCTTTCTCATGAAATCCTTCTTGCCTACAGAGTGTTTTCCCACACTATTGATTTTGAACCAGGTGGCTTCTTGTAATGAATAAAGGTTTCCAAACAGAAGTTACCCTGTTGGTAGCCAAATAGAAGCTACAGGTCACATTCTCACCCAGTCATATCTCT